ACTGATAGCATCATCATACTAGCGTGTATATAGACCTGTTCATTGCCTAATTAGCAGAATTCTTTAAAAATGCATTAGTATATTTATACTGAGTTATAGCGCCATCTGCAGGAAAACTACTTTAGCTACTTTAAATCAGAAATAATGTTGAGATCATTGTCATTTGTGGATAATCTCTAAGCAATGGTTGGGACAAACTCAGTGATATTTGATCTAAATTCAAGAAATAACAAATCTTGCCATGTTTGCCATAAGTCCTGAATTTCAAGGAGCGTGTTATGACTTGAATTGACTCACATTACAAACACATGAAGGGAAGGATCCTGAAAGGAAGTAAGGTATAGTGTCAAAAAATAGTTTGATATTGCTTAACAATTTGCTTGTGATATTAGCCTTTAAAATTTTAAAGAAGTGGCTCTGCACCTATAGAATTAGAACGTTAAACAAAGTCATTTTTTTAAGGAAATTATAAATTTACCAGTTTATTTACCATTGTTTAATGGCGTCGATATGTATTGTGGCAGTAACCCACAAACAAAGTTAAAACTTTAATAGTGGGGGTTTTTTACGTTCTTTTTGTGTAGATAATAAATGTCAGAATGATTAGAAATAAAAAATTTTAGTAAAAGGATGTTACACAGCCAGCAGGGGGCACAAGGCACCATTTTAAGTAGAACTGCTGTGAACACAGTGGACAAAAAATGAACACCAGTTTACCTACAAGGCTTGGGTTGCCAATATACATGGAACTCAGTGGCTCAGTTCTCTAACTAAAATAGTAATAATCTGATTATATATATATATATATATAAATTTTCGTATGCGACAATAACAATTAAGCAGAAGTTATCATAATTATCACTGAGATATGGTGGTGTGTTTAGTGTTTAACTTGTTACTCAGAAGCATAGCCAATAATTCAAATACTTGTATATTCAGGAAACTAATGTAGGATTGTGTTTAGACTCTAGACTCTACCCTAGTACTTAGTAGTAGAAAAGCAGTACGGCAGAGGGGTAGTATGTCCGAATTATCAGAAGAATTCTGCTTCCGGCGAGATTTTGCTATATACAACCGATGGACACTACGCTAGTCAAAAAAAATCCCAAAATGCAACGGGACTGATACGGACGAGTATCAAAAAAAATTGTGGAACATAAAAAATTGTGGAACATATTTGAGTATTAAACGGGACTTGTTTGAAATCCACGTATAAATTGTTAAATTGTTGAAGGTTTAAATAAGAAAACAGCTTTCACAGTATTTTTTGTGATCTCCATCAGCTAACGGCAACGGATTTACCTCAGCCTGTTAACCCCGCCCACATTACATTACTAAACATACTAGGTCTGCAAGGGCATAGCACCAATTTTCAGCGTATCAAGGACACTAGTCTTATCAAATGTGGCTTTTAACAGCAGAGAACAACAGGGCAGTTGCAGCGACATTGAAGTTGTCTTAAATCACATACATGATACACGAGACTATTTCTGAGTATCCCAAACTGTCTGAGAAATACCAACAAATCTATGAAAGTAAAAAAGAGACTGGTTTACCAAATATATGTTTTGTGGATTTATGGATGCATTATATATACTCCTCTGTCTCAGCATGATCTAACCAGAGTTCTTAGAGGGTTCTTCTGGTTTAGTCTGAAGTATAGTGTATGCAAGAGTGTTACATCAATGAGAATTGTGGGACAAACTACATAAGGCCACAAAGGTTCCTTTTAAGAGAAAATGTGAAGAGAATCCAGAGAGGCTGCATTTGGTGAGGGTCTGAAAAGTGTGGCTTGTCCTTGCAGCTCAGTTTGGCAGCTCCTTTCCTAATCAGTATTTAGGTCTTTAAGAAGCTTCATTTCTCTGATTACCTGATTACCTGTGTCAGTTACTGTGTTACAACTGTAATTGCATTTTTATGAGCTGGGTCAACAGTGTGGGTATTAAGTTGTAAAAGAATGGAATCTAACAGTTTGTGCCCAAAACATTACTGCTTAACATTGGTTGAAGATAATTTGATGTCTCTTGCGGTTATGGAGCTACAGAAATGATGGGGTTCAGACCCCATTTAACAAAGTGAAGTGCTGACCAAGGAATATGTAAATGAGAATAGTGCTGTTTTGCAGCAAACTGAAGCCTGTTTATAGTTCACATTAAAGAGTAGTCAATAAGGCAGATTAATAGTGTTGTCTGTGTCAAATACTGACAGCCGTGACCTTTAATGGTACATTTCGAAACAACCGGTGTTGGGCCAAGGCGTGTACAGTCAAACTACAGAAGCTGATCAGTCAATCAGTGGGAATAAGGAACTAATAAGGACTGAAATAAATAATGATATTTGCTCATTATTATAAGGGCAAGGATATAGAGAAATACAAAATCACGGACATAAATAAATCTGAAAATGAGCAAATATAGAAATCAATGAAATAACATTTAAGGAGGTAAATAAATACGACAGTAATGAATACCAAAGTTATTCAATTTCAAATTTAAAATATAGAATATAGATTTACTGCGATGGACTGGCACCCTGTCCAGGGTGTACCCCGCCTTGTGCCCGATGCTCCCTGGGATAGGCTCCAGGTTCCCCCGCGACCCTGAAGAAGGAGTAAGCGGTAGAAGATGGATGGATGGATTGAGAATATAGATTTAAATAGATTTATAGATTTAAATTATAAAAATACAGAAATACTGCTATTATTATTATTATTATTATTATTATTATTATTATTAATGATGATGATAATAATAATAATAAATAATAATAATAATAATAATAATAATAATAATAAGTATTTATATTTGTGTTTGTTCCTCGTAACATATATTTTCATAGGATAATTAATCGATTTTTTAAAAATGTTTTTGTTTGTTTATGTATTAAAGCATTCATTTATTTTGACAGTTCTGGGAGTACTGACCATATTTCATTCATTCATTTGGAAAGTGGTACACTCATCTGTACACGCGTTAGCGGGAGTAAGTGACCCATCGCCTCCCTAATTGCTCTGTCCCAAATCCTCTGGTTTTAAACTCATGCACCCTCGATGACTCGAAGATTGCATGAGTTCTGTACAGAGCTGACGTCACTAAAGTGCCGACTTGGAAGCGCAGCGCAGGGTGTTAGGGTGCCGTTTGGGACACAAGGACAGCTGTGGGTAGTGGAAAGGGCAGCGCCATATTTCCGTATCGTGTCAAATAGGTGGGGCGTAGACACTGCGACATGGAGGTAATAGCAACTTACTCAGGTTAACTGTTAGTGTTGTGTTGCTTCATGCACACTTACAAAATATTAACTAGAAACCGAATGCATTGCATCATTAATGTTTTTACGGAGCCCTGCATGTCTGACTAGCACCTTGACCGCTAGCTAGCCGTTAAACCGCAGTTAAGTGTGTCCTGTCAATTGCATATTTTTGCTAGTTATATATTTAAACAGTGTGCCCTGTTAGCGATCAATAATATAGAGGAACTCTGATGAGTCGGGTTTAGTTTTGAAACGAACACGGATGGAAGGAGGCGCAGGTTTTTCCATTTCCCATTTCTCCAGGATACGGATTAGGACCGGCGAGTTATCTAACTAACAATGTCAATACATGCATATAGTGTTTCCATTTATTTGTTTTCTAACGTTAGTCACGTGGCGTGCTATCTTGTGTTCGAATGTTATTCTTGTGAATTTTTTCTCAGTATAGCACGCGAGCAGTGACTCTAAATGTGAGAGAAATAGCCAACAACATGGAGGAGTAAAGGAGCTGTAAAATGGCGTGTGAGGGAGAAGGCGCTTGGAACATTCCAGACCTCAGTGCGGCTGAGAGGCTGCTCGGCGTGTTGTGTGGGCTTTTCAATAAGGGCTCAGTTAACCAACGGGTTGAATTCATCCGCGATTAAGTCGGTGTGTAGAGTCAAGAACATTGTAGTTCCTGCCTTCATCCTAACCCGAATTTAAAATGGCTAATAGCTAGCTACGTGTACTGCATGCAATCAGGAAATGCTGCTTTAAATCCTCTCGAGCTGCAGTGTGCATCACAGGTGGTGGTGGTGTTGTTGTTATCCAGTGAAGTTGTTTTATTATTCTTTTCTGCCATACATGGAGGCAGGGGTTCTAAAACCAGCTAGGAAACATATTAACTTTATAACAGCTATAATAAAATATCAGGGTCATGTGTAAACGTGTGCAATGTTTTCATTATTTAAAATTTTTTGCAGCTCTTTATTCCTCAAATTTCCACGCAGTTCAACGGATGAATAAAATCGGCTAATAACTATAAGGACACAATAATAAATGAGAGTTTTTCTCTGTAGTTTGCGAATTCCAGTACCGTAACAAATTATTTTCTTTTTTTTTCTTTTTTTTTTTAATTATAATAATGGTCATAATGCATGATCGTTATCATCTTTAATGATAACGGGTTAACTGGTTATGTTTATCGGTGTGTTAATCCTAGGGTAAAGAGAGTAAAGAGCCAGAACAGCTGAGGAAGCTGTTTATTGGTGGTCTAAGCTTCGAGACAACAGAGGACAGTTTACGTGCTCACTTTGAGCAATGGGGAAAGCTCACAGACTGTGTGGTTAGTGACATTACTGTGCTATTTTATACTTTCTTTTTTTGTACAGTGTTACAAAATTTTGTAAGAGTTCAATGGAACACTCGTATGCCTGTATCAGGGCTGTAACTTTTTACCGACCGCTTCTCTGTGCAGGTGATGCGGGATCCAGGGAACAAGCGATCACGGGGCTTTGGCTTTGTAACATACTCCTGTGTAGGTGAGGTGGATGCAGCCATGGCAGCTCGGCCCCATAAAGTGGATGGTCGTGTAGTTGAACCTAAACGGGCCGTTTCCCGTGAGGTATGAACATGAACCATTTGCTCCCTATTAATGAAGATTTATCTTGCATTTAGCTCATATAGTTCAGAGGCAAATAAGATTTGGAGATAAATGAAAAAATAATACTTATTCATATAAAATTGCTTAATCTGCAGTAATTGCATAATTAGTTAAGGTAGCTAATTGGTTATGACCTTGGACTTCTGATCGGAAGGTCATGAGTTCAAATCCCAGCACTGCTAAGCTGCCACTGCTGGGCCCTTGAGCAAGGCCCTTAACTCACAACTGTTCAGTTGTATAAATGTGGATATGGGTGTCTGCTAAATCCACTAAATGTAAAAAAAAAACAAAAAAAAACCCTTAAAGTAAAATGTGTTAATATTATGTTGTTCCATTGTCTAGGACTCGAATAAACCAGGGGCCCACTTGACAGTGAAAAAGATCTTTGTTGGTGGTATTAAGGAGGACACTGAAGAATACCACATACGTGACTACTTTGAGCGGTATGGGAAGATTGAGAGCATTGACATTATGGAGGAGCGATCAACAGGGAAAAAGAGAGGGTTCTGCTTTGTAACGTTTGATGATCATGACACTGTGGATAAAATTGTAGGTAAGGGAATATACTTTTTTTTTTATTGTTATTTTGATGATTTACATACATGCATTTAAAATTTGTGTTTCTCTCCAGCTCAGAAATACCACACCATAAACTCCCATAACTGTGAAGTCAGGAAAGCACTACCTAAACAGGAAATGCAGGCAGTTTCTAACCAAAGGTGTAAGTACCACATAAATGGGGATGAACCTTTGTTGTTATTATCATTATTATTATACACATTAGCTGGATTATTTTTCATCTAGTTTTGTTCCGTCTTTCTTTCTTTTAGATCGTGGTGGTGGTGGAGGAGGAGGTAATTTCATGGGCAGAGGAGGCAATTTTGGAGGTGGCAACTTTGGTAGAGGTAGGAAAAGAAACTGGCCTTAAAAAGCCATCTTTTTGTGTTGTTTAATATGGAAGAAAGTTCACGAACGTCTGTGTTGTTATGCACAGGTGGTTATGGAGGAGGCCGAGGAGGCTATGGAGGAGATGGCTATGATGGATTTTCTGGAGACGGTAAGCTCTCCATCAATGCAGTCATTTAAATTAGGGAAAGGTGGGTTAAAGTATTGTTGGTTATATTTAAAAAAATATATATGAATTGCTGTGCACACTCAGCATGAATTAAGATTTAGTCTACTTGACCACTAATAGGCAATACACAAATCAAGTGAATATAGTAGCTCCAATTATAACCTGATAGATTTATTTTTAAGTAGTCATGAGTTAGCCAGTTGCAGTGTGTGTCGCTTGTGTGTTCAGGTGGAAACTATGGCGGTGGCCCAGGTTATGGTGGTGGGCGTGGAGGATTTGGTGGTGGTCCTGGTTACAGTCACCAGGGAGGGGGGGGAGGAGGAGGAGGAGGCGGTGGTTATGGAGGAGGATATGACAACTACAATGATGGACGCAACTTTGGCGGTAAGACATTACAGGGCAGTTTATTGCAGCCAAGGCAATTCAGTACTGAGGGCAACTATACCAGCCGATTAAATATCTTCTACAGAATTATTATTCAGCAAAAGACATTTATTTTCATTCTGAATTGACTTGAATGTAGAGCATATGTTTTGTATATAACTTTGCACATGGTTCTATTGGCTCCTTTAGAAAGTCACCTAAGCATCTTTTATGCTGACTTTTAAGGGAACTTTGGTGGCGGAGGTGGAAACTACAATGACTTTGGGAATTATGGGGGCCAGCAGTCAAATTATGGCCCCATGAAAGGAAATAACTATGGAGGAAGGAACTCGGGTGGACCATATGGCGGTAAAAGATTTATCTGACTGCGCTATACAGTAGCATGTCATATAGGAGGTGGACAAGAATGTTAGGCTTTCTTTTTTATGTTCTCAGGTGGCTATGGTTCAGGGGGTGGTGGCGGCGGAAGCTATGGGTCAAGGCGATATTAAAGTGTGTGTATATTTATGGTAAGTTCTCTTTAGCACTAATTAATGAATCTTAGATGTGTTGACCTAGAATAATTATTTGTTTTATCCTGTATCTATTCAACAGGCTTCAGGTGGACAGTTAGCAGGAGATGAGATGAGTGGAGAGGAGATGAGAGGAGAGGTCAGGAAAGCAGCAGGTTACTGTGAGAAAGCCAGGACCTGCTAGTCAGAGCACTAAAAATGGAGACATAAAGAAGGACTGTTTCCACTAGCTACAATGAGCAGGGGTGTAGCCAGGTACTCATGACCTAGTATGTGTTAGTGTATGTACATTCCTTTAATCTTTTTTGCTAGATTTTTTTATATATATATATTATTATTATTATTAGTATTATACTTTATTATTATTTTTTTAAACCCTTTCTCGGTTTTTGTTTTTGGGTTGTTTTTTTTTGCCCATTTCCTAAACCCCTTCGTTTTTTCGAGAGTGATATGTCAAGTGTCGTAGATGTTGAAGTAAGCTTTGAAATATATGGTCTTAAATGATTTTTCTCTTTAGATTATTGGATTTACAACTTAGATTTCTAGTCATTTTCTTATTTAAAAAGTCACAAATTAGCTGCCAACTATGGTATCATTTTTGGTTACCGTAATGTTTTGGTTTCATGGCAGCGATGCTCATCAGTGTCAAGTGTAATTTTCTGTTAGTGTGTTTGTGCTGTCTTGCGTTGTATGCAAAAAAAGAAAAAAAGATGAAGTTATAAGCAGTATAGACTTGTCAGATTGGAGGGCATGTAACAGATCCATTTGTATAAACAGAAGTCTAGATTGTTAAACTACTTTGAAAAGTGAAAAAAGAAACCAGATTAAATAAAATGTAGAAAATTCCATAATCAAAGTTTAGTGGATCATTGAGTCTGGAAGAAAGTGCAGTTTTGAGTGTTTGTTGAATGTGTCCTCATGGAAGTGTAGCCAATGAACCCAGACATTTCAACACTTTTTGGTGTTAATATACATGCTGCTCTTGTATATGAGCAAAATTGTATCGAGATCTAGCCAAAGGCCACCAAACAGGTCTCAGTTGCCCAGTGTGGATGTAAGACAGAGCCTCAACTGGACCAGACAGTAAGTTGTCAGAAAAGAGGAGGGAGGAAAAAAAACTAAACAAGGGAGCATCAAGAGCCAAGTCTGTGGAGCAAAGCCATCAGGTGTCACACCAGAAAGCTAGCATCTGTGTTTTGCCAAAACTAGCCTAACCTCCAAGAGCAGCTGACGCTAGTGAAGAAAGGCTAGCGAGTACCTGGATCCAAGAGGTGTGACAGCCAATGCTAGCCAGCAAAGGAAGGGGAGTGAGTATGAGGGCTTGAGACACAGGTGAATAAGAGAAGAAGGAAATGGCATGTCTTAGGACCAGGTAAGAGTAACCATTGTGCTTAATTTACAGATTGAAACTGAAGCGGCTGCTCAGCAAATCTTGTATGACACGTTTTCAGCGAAAGGTCTGGATGGGTAAGATTAATTCCTTAAAATATGTGTGGACAATTTTACAGTATCCTCCCATAGCCACAGACAGCCTGAGATAGGAAACTACCTGAGTTTCTTGACTCATGGTGCTTCATAGCTGAATTCGTTGACTTATTTTAAGACTTGACAAAGAAAAACTTCTTTTATTACATTACATTATAGATTAAATATTGATGCTGGGTTTTAATTAAACGTTACACAAGCTATCTTTCCAGTTGAAGAGTAAATTCTTCTCATAGATTGCATTTGAGTTTGAGGATTATTAGTCTTCAGAGTAATTACGTGTTCTCTATCATATTTTTGCAATATTGTTTGAAAACATTCAGGAATTATGCATCCATACATGCCAGTGAAATTAAAAATTATTTCCACTCACAAAAGTAAAAGACCACCTCAGCGATTAGGCAGATATGCAAATAGAAGCTGAATGTTTCAGAATTACTTTGAGTATTTTTATAAAGTGTTATTAAAAATTTTTCTTGCTTTAGTATGCCTCAGCTAATTTACCAACTAATTAATAATGCAGTAGTGCCTTAGGACCACGGCTGAATAACAATGACTGTAGAAAATGAGTATAATGAAAGTACAAAATAAGATTAAAGTGTGCAGTACACTTATTTGATCCTGCTAATAGACAAATTACAATCAGAAAGTAGTGGCAGCCAAATAGCCACATTCTCTTCAAGTACCTAAGCACTTTATTTTACATTTCTTTACTTGAATTTCTTCAAGTAAACTCCGTATCAGGTATCTCACTATAACTGAAAAGGTTTGTTAAAGGTAGATAGATGTAAAGAGTATTGATCACTTTCAAAGGTATGCTATATAGACAAAGGTTTGTGGACACCTGACCATCACACACCACGTGTGCTTTTTGAAAATCCCATATGCTGTTTTAATTAACTCCACTCATCTGTGAAGGCTTTCCACTAGATTTTTGGAGTGTGGCTGTGGGGATTTGTGCACGTTCAGCCGCAAGAGCATTAGGGAGGTCAGATATTGGGTGAGGAGGCCTGGGACACAGTTAGTGTTCCAGTTTATCCCAACGATGTTTAGAAGTCAGGACTGTGTGTAGGTTGCTTATGTTCAACTCCAACTTTGGCAAACCATTTCTTCATGGGCCCCGCTTTGTGGACAGGGATATTGTCATACTGGAACGTGTTTGGGTCCTTGTTCCAGTGAAGGGAAATTATCATGCTACAGCAAACAAAGACCAACTAATTAATAATACAATTGTGTGCTTCCAACTTTGTGGTAACAGTTTGGTGAAGTACCACATATTGGCTTGATGGTCTGGTGTCCACAAACGTTTGGCCATGTTGTGTAAAATATAAAGTGATAATGTTTAATACTACAAATAAGTTACTATGGAGAGATTTTATTAAATAGTTCAAATATATTTGGCATAGATATTATTAAGCATTTAAATATTGGTGTAGATCAGACCATTGCTGCAATGAATGTGTTTCTTATTGATGTGGTTATGGGAGGATAAATTTTACTCAGGAATAATATATTCATAGATTTACATATGCATTTTTTATTTTGCACACTTATTCTGCAGCACATACTTTACAGCATAAGCCTTTTTTCTTTTTCTTAGTATTGTGATTTGTATAAATGTGAGTTGGAAATTTTTATATAATGTGTATGTATATATGTGTGTGTGTATTTTTTTTAAATAAAGGTGATTTGCAAATCTCAGAGTCCTCATTGTTTTTTTATCATT